CCCCAAAACCCCAAAACCCCAAAACCCCATCATACTACATATGAAGTAAATAGAGATATATAGTATTGACTGTCATTAAGAAAATTAATAGAGATCATTAGTACTATTATAAGACTCAAGAATTTATGAGTCAATTCTTAAAGTTCAAATTATTAAAGATATAAATTCTGAATACTCTGTAATGAATTAGACAACCAGTTAAATTTAGGGAGGGAACAACAACCACATGATGAACCAGGACTTCTCTATGTTTTCAATACCCTTTGACAACTTAGACTTTGAATTTCTTAGTCCATAGTTCGACTCAAACCATTTCAACATTGAGGAACCTTTCAGAATGAGACTCGATAGTGAATACTTGTGGGAAGGAGAGGAGATGATGTACGAGGACATCGTGGCTTCAACTTAGCCACTGAATTATAATTAGCATACCATGAGAAAGAGAATTGACGACTTTTAGTTTCACATGTAGTACATGAACCACTAAGAGCAGATGGAAGACCTCGAGATAACTCAACAAATAGAGATCAGACCCTACTAGAGCGAATAGTAAGTCTGTCAAAACAGTTGCGGAAGAAATCCAGAAAATGAAGAGGAGTAGTTTGGTCTTGATTCCACAATCATATCTAACCTTGATTTTAATTAGTCGATGGCACCCTTCAATTAAGATTTCAACTTCGACATGCTAGATCTTGAGTAACAGGAGCTCTCATTCATGATGAGAAGTATGACCAATCCTTAGTTATTAATGGAGAATGATATTCCAGAGCCTTTCGAGAATCCTTTCTTAATTCAAAATTCCATCTTTCAGGGATAATAATCTAGTGAGGATTAATTTTCATAAACTGCTAGTGAGGCAACTGAGATTAATCAATCATTACCAAATCCAATTCTTAAGCAAAAAATAGTAGACACCTTAGAGGGAGTAGGAGACTAGACTGGCTACTTCGAGGAGGAGAGCAAAGGACCTAGTTACTAGCCACTAGGGGTTCATGAGTACAACAGAAAGCGAGGGATCTCGGATGTAACTCAGACAAAAAACCCTCTATCAGTAAATAGTCAGGTATCTTCTTCAGGTAAGATAATGACGAGATCAAAGGCCATAAACAAGAACTGATACGTGGTAGAGCGACATGCTAATACACACAAAGCCAAAATTCCAAGAAAGATTGCCAAGAAGGATCATGAGGAGATCCACCAAGAAGAGGAGGTTAAGGAACCGTAAAAGAAAAAGAAAGTTGCGGTGACCTCTGCTCATGATTTGAGTGCGGAAGCTGAACAAACTTTTTCTCATGACCAAACTTCAAACGATAAGTACTACAAGAAATTTGATTTCTTCTACAAACGAACATGCTTTAGACTCATGGCTGAGTTCTACAAATTATTGTTCCAGCCATTCTAAAAGCTTTGGATTGAACAGAAGAAAAAATCTGCTATGTCTGCACTTTTGTAATCTTTTGCCTCGAGACATTTTGAGTCAACCTTGAGTAAACTACCAGCAAACAACAAGGTTGAGTTCGTTAATATTCTCATGGCTGTGGTGCATTCGCACAGACACAACAAAGAAGATTCTTTTTTATCTGAAAGCTCTGTTGACTTCAGTCTTGTTAGAGATACTATGTATAAGTATAGCAAGAAAGCTCAAGAGAGATTTTTCTCAATTCCTGTATTTGCCTTTTTATTTGCTTGGTTCGCCCAAAGTCAGGAAGGCATGAAATTTACCTATCAAAAATTCCAGCAAAAAGGTCAGGATTACTTCATTAGAATTAAGACTGAGATTGAGGAGTTGAAGGATGAAGCTATTTAGTGGCTCAAAAAGCATGTGGCCGCTAAAGCTGACGCCAAGGCTTAAGTTCTAATTAAGTAATTGGAATAATGAAGTCGAATTCGGATATGTCTTAATTATGGACTAGTCCTACCTAACTACCTATTCTCAAATAAGAGATTCATTAATTTTGCTTTAATTATCTCTCCACAAGCTATTAATTTTCCTGTATTAAAACTTCTGAATATCTTTTATGCCTAGTTATATATCTTAATGGGGTTTTGGGGTTTTGGGGTTTTGGGGTTTTGGGG